ACGGCGCCTTAACCCCGCGCCTCCCTGCTGCTCGAGATCGCCAGCCATTTCGCACGCACCCTAGAGCTGGCAGAGCTGGCACCCCGGAGGCGGGAGGCTTCTCCTTCCCCCGCTCTCCGTTCGCGAAGCGCCTCTCTGCATTGCCTTTGCACTGCCTGGGAGTTTTCCTGGGCCTGCGCGCGGGGAGGGACCCAGAGGCGTCTTTTTTTCCCTCCTCTGGGGTGTACAAGCCAGCCCGCGCAGCCGGAACCTCGGGGCTGTGTGGTTCTGTCTCTTCCCCATCTCCGAGCCTAACAGCTGCGGAGACAACAGACGCCCAAGGGATGGAAAATGAATTCGTCTCCGCAGCGGTGGGAGGTGGTGGCCGAATTAAACGCTTTCCTGGTGGCCTTATCAAGGGGCCTAGATTGGAATTCTGGGTGGAGATTGTGAGGGGCGGGAGGGATGTACCCCGGAAAGGAGGGAGGGCGAATGCCTGGGATGTAAAAGGGATGGTGTGGAGAGGTTTTTTTTTTTTTTTTTTTTTTTTTTTTGTGTTTACCTGGAAACTGTTTTGCCCTCCCCATGGAAAATGTCCAGGCTGTTTTATGAAATGCATGAATTTTCTGATTTGAGAATGCTCTCCAGGCAGTGGTTCCCAGACTCTGGAACACTGGGGCTCGTAAGGGACAGAGTAACACCATACCCTTAGGTAACTCAGTCCCCCCCAATCCCTTTGGATGGAACCTATCGCCAAGTTTACAGGACTTCCTTTTTTACCTCGCTCACACCAGATTCCAAGGCTCTCCTTTCTAGGGATGTGAGGCCTAAAAGTCCAAAAGACTCTCTGAAAAGACCTGTCCCTCACCCTCTTGCCTTCTCCTAGTCCTTCTGGTGCCTGAGGCCTCTGACAGTATTCAGGATTCTTACTATGGTCCTGGTGTAGCTAGAGGCACGGAAAGCCAGCATCTCTGTTGCGATGGAGGTGATTGGAGCCAAATTTCACAAAGCTGTAAAAATAAAATCAAGAGAATTTTCGGATATAGCACGGAGATTTTTAAAATTCAAGATGTATGCAATCCCTGCCTACTAGCAATGGTTAAACATTTATTGGGCACTTGCTGAACTTTTTCATGAGTTAATGTTAATGATCCGAAGAAGTGGAGCTGGCATTTTAAGCCAAGCCAATGCTTCCAAAGTTTGGTAACTTAACCCAGACGCTTTTATGCAGGCCAAAGTCGGCAATTCCACATTAACCTGTGTGGTGACAAAATTCTTACTTAGTTGCGATATTTGAGGGGTGGGCGGCTGGCAGGGCAAGTGTTTCCAACCAGCCTGCATCCCACCTAGCTGGAGGGAGGGTCCAGTCTGGAACAGAGGGGTGAACTTGATTTTAGTCGTTGTTGTTGCTTGCTTGGGTGGAAGGCTGGTTCCCTGGGCACAGTCATGGAAGCTGCTAGACGGGGAAAAGGTTTCTCTCCAGGGCTTGGCAAAGACAGCTGGATGGAGGCTACCCTGTTTGCCCCCAGGGAATGTGGGGTGGCCCGCGCCGGTAGAAACAGCAAGCTATAGGCTGCAACTTCCTAAATCTGGGACCTGGGGATAGGAGGGCTGGGAAGAAGTCAGGGCTGCACCTGAGGTGGGAGCACCGGGATGAAGGAGCTTTCAGTGGGGCACCAGGGACAAGGGCGGGTGCTCAGGGAAGCGCGGGCCTGCAATGGGGCGGGAAGAGAGGAGAGGAGTTGGGAGCAGGGACTGGGGAGCGGCGGAGAGGCGGCTCTGCAGGCAGCACCGGGGTCCTGGGCGTCTGAGCCTAACTTGCATGGTGCGGTTCTCTCCCCCGCGGCCCGCCCGCACAGGTGCCGCCGCTGGACGGGATTCTAAGATGAAGTTATGGGATGTCGTGGCTGTCTGCCTGGTGTTGCTCCACACCGCGTCCGCCTTCCCGCTGCCCGCCGGTAAGAGGCTTCCCGAGGTGCCCGCCGAAGACAGCTCCCTTGGCCGCCGCCGCGCGCCCTTCTCGCTGACCAGTGACTGTAAGAACCGTTCCCTCCCCGCTGGGCCATCATCGGCGGACCCCAGGGCACCCCACCGCAGCACGCACGCAGCCACCCGTGGCCAGACACGAAGGCTCTGAGCCTCCCCACTCTCGGGTTAAGTGGGAAGGGCTCTGAGGTCCTTAAGGGTACTCCTCTGCCCGATGCTGCCCAAGGGTCCCCAGGTGTCTTGCTTGTGAGTGACACAGAATCCTTTGTCCAGTGCAGAGGCTATGAATAGTGTCCCTTTATCATCCCCATCAACAAATATCCCACTACCACCACAACAACAAACCAAACACCACCAGAGCACACACACATTGCCTGCCCCCTTTTTTTCCTCCCCTTCTAAGAACACACCCGGGGTTCTTTGTTCTATGGCTATCTCACTGGGCCTCTCTGTGCTTAATTCTAAAAACGTCTTGCACTTTTACCCCCACCTGCGCTTGCAAAGGGGGTTGTGAAAACCCATCGAGAAAGAAAACACAGAAGGGCCTCCATTTCCAGGGCTAGCATCTGTCTAGTGTCAAGTCTGTTCAGAAGGGTTCTGTGGTAGAGACTTCAGGGAGACTAGAGTAAGGTGAGCTGAAAGGGAAAAGTGTTCAGGACACACCTGGGAATGCTAACTCAAGGGGAATAAAACAAAAACAGGGTGCTCTTAAGAACAAGTCTGCCATTTACTACTCAACATGTTCTAGAGGCAAGCAACTGCATTTACAACTTTATACAACCTATCCTCCACCCCTCAGAAGTCCATCTGGGTAAAGTGAGGTTGACATATAACAAGTGACCGAGATGGGTGGGAAGATATCTAGGCAACAAAGATAGCAACAGAAAAATAGAGATACTCTCAAAATACTCATTCCTACCCACCAACTCCCCTTAGAATTATTGACTTGGATATTTTGCACACTGTACTGTGGTCATGAGCATTGGGGAAGCAGTATAAGCCCAAGTCAGTCCCAAGACTGACATCATCCAAACTCCATGGCCTTGACCTAGGAATCATCCATGAACTATGATGTGCTTCTTGCACAAGTACCATGAAAGTGAAATTCTATAAGGGTTTCTAGAGTGATTAGGGTTAAAAAGGAAACTTAGTTAGTCCCTTGAAATTCAATCATAAATCTCAAAACTTTCCATCAACTAACTGAAGAAATTCATCTTCAAAGATTTTCACATCAATTACAAGTTAAGGGTGATTGTACAAACATTTCTCCAGCAGAAATTCTAAATGCCCTCTCTGTTACTGTCTTCATCTGTCCATTCCTACAGCCCCCCCCCCAAGAGGGACAGGGACACAGTGGCAGATAATAATAGTTCTCTAATACTATTCTGTCAGTGAACAGAACAATGATGGTTTGATTGCAAACTGATTAATTCTTGGAGGTTTAATTGCTATATAAGTATCTTGTCTACCTGGGCTTGCTAAGTTGAGCTGTCCATTAATTCTGACAAGTTAGTGGCTTTAGAATTCAATGAACAGTTTGCCAGTGTCCAAGAAATGGAAGCCTTTCTTCCCCCATGTGCCAGTAGCGTCCAGGTCTGCTCCTTGGCCTCCGTGTTCCTGTCCTACCTATTCTTTGAGAAGAGACTCATGGACAGAGACTGGAGTCCTCTAGGGATGCTAAAGTCCACTGATACTGGATTTCATGCCAGGAGATTCTGATATAATTGGTTTGAAGTGTATCCTGGGTGTGTGGACTTTTAGAGGTTTTCCAAGGGAGACTTAGTGTCCACCCAAGGTTGTATGGCCATAGCTTGAAAGCACCCTAGGAAAACCTATAGTGTCTGTGGGTTAATCAGTCACTACACAAGAAAAATAGCTTTGAGTCCCATTGGCTGCATGGAGCCCATGGTGATGTGAGAGGGGATTGCTTCCTGTTTCTCAAATGATACTTAATCATCTGTGGACAACCTGACTATTGGTTTTGTTCAAGACAGCAGAATACACCCAATTCTGCTTTGTCAATGGAAAGACCCAGTAGAGCCTAGACAGAGAAATTACCTCAAGAGAGACTAATCCGTGTTCTAAGCCAACTGACTTCTTTCCAGGTATGTTCAATTCGGTAGCAAGCTGTCAGTGCAGGGAAGGCAAAATAATGACAGTGTGCAGACTTTAAATATTCAACTAGTGTCAGCACAGCCCTGCCACGGTGCTGACATTTATATCCCGCACTGCACAGGGAGCAACCAGGCTAAGTCTGGTGTAGAAAAACATTAAGTCATTTCACTTCATTTGAAAATAAAAAGTGCTATAAATTTTGGCCCCTATGGTTTCCTTCGGGTGCCTGGGATTTAGTGATTAAGGCAAAGAACTTCTGTCACTTTAACAGTCATTGTGCAATTTCCATGGGGCACTGGAACTGTGTCCATCCACTCCACACATTCACTCTTGAGACTGCATCCATTCCACTGGGTCCAATGCAAATTAAACATCCCAAATTCTTTTCATACATAGCATGAACCAAGCAAGTACAGTTAATAACTGACTGGCTTGTCTCAAGGTTGGCTGTGAAATAAATGGCCCTGTGACCATTTTAAACTTACTCAGAAACTTGCTTGTAGTTTGCCTTTGAAGGCATCCAAGACTTTGTCTCTAGATGACCCCTGCCCAGTTCATTTCATTTGTTTCTCTTCCTGCCATTGTCTAGTCCAAAAGAGGATTAGAGATAGGATGGGGGGTCTGTAGTGTGGAATATACAGGTGCTATAGCATTTTAAGACTATAAGGAAAATTTTATGGTTCTGAGAGCTAAAAAGGTGAAATCTAAAGTGCCAGACATCCATGAGGGCTGCAAACAGATCTGCAGATGCTGGGGCCAATGTTTACCCAACCCACTAAAATACATTTTGCATGGAAGGGAGAAACTATAGGGGTTGTATGGTCTTCAACCAATAACTAAAACGGATTGTTTTAATTTTTTTTATTTTAGTTCAGGTAGTTCCTAATTTGTTATAATACAATGGGATAGCAGACTGCCAGTTTGGTAGAAGGTCATGAAATTTGCTATAGAAATAATCTTTTAGATCAAGCTATCAAGTTCTCAGACAATAACTCATTAAAAAAAAACCCATATTAACCATGATGAAACTGAGCTGTAACTCACAAAGTTACTAGGTATGAGTCTCTGCCCTGGGTGCCATATCCCATAATTTCTGGTGTAAGAGACAAGGAAGTATGAATTGGAGGCTACCTGTATGTAGAGAGATCATTAGAATAGACACTGAATTTAAAATTTAAAACATGAGTGAAGCCACCCCAGTACTGTACAATAGATGGTGTTAAACTTGAAATCCAAAATTCTGAGATTTGGAACTCTAAATAAGTAAGCCGCACCCATTGCTTCGGCCTGTATAGAGGAAACAATAGGAAAGGCAAGTCACTATATCAGCAGGAAAGGGAATCTGGTTCTTGGCTAGGGACTCCTGAAATTAAAATCTGTGAGGAAGACTCTTTTAGGGACATGATCCCTTATTTGAGATTTGAGACCAGCATCTTCTTCTCAAGTCCTAATAATTGCTGTTCAGAGAAATGCTTTCAAGGCTCCACTTATAATTGGCCAGCCATAGGACATTGCACAGGTCAATCAACCTAAGCATTATGCTCAGAAAGGGTCAATGTTAGCTGACACAAAAGTGAACATTTCTGGTATTTTCCATTCCTGTTATATGTGTGACTGACCCCCCCTTTTTTTTAATCCAGTATTCATGGCCTTCACTTAATGAAAATACTTACTGTATAATTAATCATTTGAGTGCCATCAGAAGCCATTTTATATTAAATGCCCCTCAAATGCCAGTTATGGGCAGCATCCAAACAGCTAAAATCAATCTAGTTGTAAATTATAAGTAGACAGGTAGGCAGGTGGAAAGGTTATCAGACAGGTCGCCAGCAAGACAGATAGATACACCTGTCCTTTGGCTAAAGTCATGTCACCAAGAATTCCTAGCAATGTACTCATGGGGCTTAGAGAGTAGGACAGCAAAAAGTCCAGGAAGGGGGGGTTAAGAGGTCTTTGAACGGTGGGTATTTGGAAGAAAAAGGAGGGGCACCTTTGAGACTAGAGAACAGCATGAGGGGTTTGTAGCCATGCTATAGGGGCTGTGTAGTTGGATATATAAGGGAGGCAGCAGTGGACATGAGCTGGAAGAGGAACTGAAGTGGGAACTGGGAGAAGTCTCCCTCGGTGATTATGGAGAGCTCTATCTCCATAGATAGAAATGGAAATGAGTTTTCCCCATTTTCTATGGCAGGCAGTGACAACAGGCAGCCTCTGCTACACAGCTGATGTGTGACAAAACATTAGTCTACTATTCATGAGTGGGGCTTTCAGCATAGGCAAATTTTTCACCTGTACTTTTATGCTCTTATTTTTACAAAGCTTCAAGGCATGGGCACAATCAAATCAACCTGCTCACCCTCCGGACATGTAAATACAAGCCTACTCCGAAAGTTAGTATCCACATGAGTAACCTGGCTTGGAGCAAATAACTTAATATCCTAAAATCAAGTTAGTTTGGGCTCTATTGAACAAGGTTGTCCCCATTTTATGGGTAAAGGAGTAAGATCTATCTACAGAGCTGTTCCAGGCCACAAGTCTAGTAAGTAGAGAAGGCCTATTTCAAACTTCAGGTAGGCATCTAATCTCAAAGCCAGTCTTTCTTTGTTTATTTCTCAACATACTGTGATCCTGGGTTAGTATAGATTAAAATAATACAAGCATGTAAGCCAAAAATCTAGCAACTAACCCTAGAACATAGATTTCCAGGAAAACCACATTCACTCTTGGTCCCTTTTCTGACTCTTTCTGGCCTTAGGATGTCTAAGCCAACATTATTGACTAGCTCAGAACACATCAGACAGAAACACATGGGTTTTGCTAAGGATTCCAACAAAACTGGCAGAACTTCTGGAAAACACACTTTTTCTCAGATCACTCCCATGCTGCCAGGTGACAGGCAACACATGACTACAAAAGTGCCAGGAGGGACAGGAGT